GCCTCACGACTGCGAGGTCAGCATGCTCAGAAGCAGCCCCAACAAGCCGGCACTTACACCCGCCAGAGCTCCTCAGCTCGTATACCTGGCACCGAAATGACCACAGAGGAATGGGACTCCCTGCACTGCCCGATAAGTCTAGTGAATGACTGGAACTTCCTTCCCAGCGACGGTCCTGAACGTGCTCCGCGGCCTCCCGTTAATTTTCCGGTGAGTTGCGGGGGAACGTGCGCTTTTGACAGTTTTTTTCTCATATCCTTGCGGTCTTTTTTTATTTCCGCGTCCTCCCCTTACCACTATCAACAAGCAAGAACGGTGAGTGCTCGGATCGATAGGTAGGCCTTCGCTGTAGGCGTTTTTGGACTGGTTGCGTCCATTTGAGTGTGTTATAGTTGTTTGAAATAACGTTCACCTGACCACTAACGGTATTCATCTGTCTCCCTCTGCCTTGGGCCTCGACAAAGGCGCTGACGGCCGTAGCAGCTGGAAGTAGGCGGATAGTATTGCCGGCAAAGAGGCTCGGGTGGGACACCACTTGAGTCTGGGGATGACTGGCTGACGACGGCTAATGAGCCAGAAATGACCATTCCGGTCTACCTTGTTTTCGCTGGCAATACTATCTGCCCACACCCAGAAATCACTATTTTCGTTATATTGACAATGAGCGACCTAGTTTCTTCGTCACTAAATGGCTGCTTTTCACACAGTATTCTTGTGTCATCATGTTTTATAATCCTCCATGAGGCAACTTGAACCACCGCGATGCCGCTGACACCACCAGTACTGGTCCTATTTGCACATTTTCATCTGCCTTATCGCTGTCGAAATTCTGTTGGTGCGGCATCCTTGGAGCATTTGCTAAACCTTCCGCTATACGCGTTCTGAGTGTCACCTTCATATGTGATAAGCCTTTCAATTTTTTATAGTTAAGGGAAACAGTATCTATTGACTGACTTGACAGTGTTAGTCATGAAGCATTCTGTTGACACATTCTCCATAAGCGGACCTATGTGCGTTCGGTCGGCAGTAATTATCATAGGTAGAAAAGAAGAAGGCGTGTCGCTCATCGGAATCATAATTTTATTCATCCGAGCTTTCGGACTCTTGTGAGGGTCTATCGTCAGAGACAAAAGCGTCAACGAAAAACAAACAACAGTTATAAGGGGCAGGAGCCAATCAACTGTTATAGGGGGGAGAAAAACCATTAATCCCCAGTGTCGGCCGTGTGGATATGCCTGCGGAGGGTGATGTATGCGGGCGCCAGCTCGATACACCGATTGACCGAGTTGTCCAGCGACTGATTCCGGTAAGCGACGCGCCTTCTTCTCTTCCAATACACATACCTGGGATGCGAAAATTTGCCTCAGTTTGTGAGTAGTTATCATTTCTCATATTGTTGACGATCACCTGAACTGCAGGTGTGGAGTGTAGTGGAAAGCTAGACGTTAGCATTAGTGTCAGATTTTCCATGCTGAAAATAAAAATTCATTATTTGGTCACTTCGCCATCGAGCTGTCTGCAACTTATTCAACGCAGGACGTACTTAATCCTGTAGTCGTTCTCGCTTGCATTACTCTTACGACAGAATACGGTGAATTAAAAATTAGGTAATCCAAACCAACAGGTTTTGGCTGTTGTATATTCCAGCTACAGCCTTTTTGCAGTAACCCAGTTAGCGTGTTAGGCTGGGTCAGTGTGTGACTGCAACTTATTCGCAGGCTTTTTCTCCCTCGTCTTTCATGTTGAAGTCCGGTTCGCGAACCCGCTGGACACCAGCGCGCTGCGTTTAACAGGCCCCACTACTCATTTCGTTGGCAGCATTGACTGGCGGCATGTTTGTCAGAGCGTGAATGTTGTTCCTATCGAGAGAACTATTTTCACGTAACATCGCAGGCATTTAGTAGACTGCAGAACTTGATCACTGGAAAGCATGCACCTGTATCGGTTTGACCTGACCTCTTATGTGATGCGGTAGCCCGCAAAGCATGGCCAGCGAG